CAAACAGTAGCTTTTCCCTGGGGCTATTTTGTGAAAAAAAACTCACAGCGCCCAGCCTGGAGCCATTCTCAGGGTTTCTGTTTTTCAATTGATTGTGGTGGCTGCTAGAGGGAGGGGCAGCCTCTGGCTCTGGTTACCCAGTGAGGAAAGCCACTCCAATGGCTGGCGCCTGAGCTGGGTGACTTTTCCCTGGATGGAACTGAGTCTGTGAGGTCACTTCGCCGTTAAGTTCTTGTGACCTGCTAAATGACTCGTTTTATTCCAAGGCCTGAGCTGGAGCTAGCCGCTCCTCCGAGCTTTGTCGGTATCCAAGATGGAGATCACCGGTGCTGGGGGGGGAGGGGTGGCCTTCCCTCCTCTGCTCCCAGAGAAGGAGTGAGGAAGTGGGGCTTCTACTCACGCGGAGTCTTGGATCTCGGGTCGTCTCTGGTCTGCAAAGTGCAGGATGAAGTTGTCCGCTCCTTGTCGGTTCTTGCTGGTGTTGAGTAGAATCCGCTCGTCCGCTGCGTCTGGCTCCTTTGTCCCGGACTGCGTCTCAGGTATGCCTCCGCGGCGGTGGTTGCTGCTGTGACCCTGCCGCCGCAGCGGCAGCTGCTCAGATGTGTCTGCTTGGCTTCCCCTCTCTTGACTAACTCTCTGTCCTGTGATGGCACACTTGGTGTGATTCTCTGGCTTGGAACTGTTCGCTGGAACTCTGAAACTGTTTTCTATGCAAGAGCTTGTTCAGATTCCAGCTTCTCCTCCGCCATCTTCCCGGAACTCATTGATTTTATTTCTTGAGAAGAGAAAAATAATCCCAATAAAATATGATAGAATTTTATGACTTTGATCACATTTCATAAAAGGGTGTTTTTTTTTGGGGGGGGAGGCTGTAGTCTAGAAAACTATACAAGATTAATTCATATGGAAAAACTCATAGTTTTGTTTTTGTAAAAAAATACAATTTTGCAAGTAATGGGATAACTGTTAGAGATACAGAGGTAGATAGAGAAAATTCTTCCTTTAAAAAAGGAGTGCTGGAGGGTGTGAGAAAAAAACATGGAAATGATGAACCTGTATTTGGTCAGGAGTCTCTCATTGTATATGAGGACATAGAAGAATGGGTAGCTGGCTCAGTCCAGCCTGGGAGAGTATCAAAATAAGCCTCATAGAAATGACACTTGAACAGAACAGGTGAGGCAGAATAGGTGAATGAATGAAAGTTAAAAAATTAAGATAAGCTGCATGTTGTTGGCTCTAGCATAGCAAAGAGCTGTAGGAGAATGTTCTCTCTCCTGAAGGAGGAAGTATCAAGTATAGTTTGATCAAGTATAGCACCTGCATCAGAAACAAAATGATCCAAGAGGCCTACCAATATCACAGTTGTTAATAAGCGTAGGAAATGATGTCTGCGTTGATGTGGAAGAAGGTGTGATGTGATCCATTTTCTTCCAAATTACTTGAGGCCCTCGGTTTCAAATTCAGGACCCACTTTGCATATAGTAAAGCAGGCCCTTTTTCTGCCTAGGTTGACCTGGTCTGTGAATCCCTTATTTATGCTTCCTGTATTGCTAGTTTAGGTATGTATTACTCTGCCCAGAATTTTATTGGTTGAGATTGGGTCTTGAAAACTTTTTGTCCTGCTTGCCTCAAGCCACGATTTTCCCCATTTCAACTTATTTTTTTTTTTTTCTTTTCTGGTGGGGGGCTTGAACCCTGAGCCTGGACGCTAACCTTGAGCTCTTCAGCTCAAGGCCAGTACTCTACTACTCAAGCCACAGCACCACTTCCAGTTTTCTGCTGGTTTATTGGTGACAAGAGTCTCACTGACTTTCCTACCTGGGCTGGCTTTGAACTATGATCCTCCGATCTCAGCCTCCTGAGTAGCTAGGATTATGGGTATAAGCCACGGGTCCCTGATCCCATTTCAATTTATTGAGTGGCTAAGATTATAGGTGTGAGCCACTGGGACCAGCCAAATTATAGTCACTTGTTTTTCTTTTTTTCTAATGAGCACCAAAAGGAAATGATAACATGGCATTCAAATGAAAAAAAAATTAGAAGATTTAGTGAGATAATTTGGTTTTATTACATTTCCAACATAAGATTTTAGATAGTTTTTTAAAATAGATATAAGTTTAAATATTTAAAGATGGAATTCACCTATACTGACTACATATAGACTTTAAAGGAAATTTATCTGAAATAATCTTTTTTTCCCATGAAACAATGATAATTACAATGTGAACGCATAATACAGGATTTCCAGATTTGAAGTGGTTCCTTATTCACTTAAAAGTGGTTCCTTATTCATTTAAAAACTATAGTTTGGGCAGCTCACAGATTGTCTTAAATGGTATTCCTTAGATATTGCCAAGTATAAACTGATCTCTAAAAGTGACAGGTGTTTAACCCATGCGACATCTGTATTCTCCTTAACACTGACCAAGATAAGGTGCAGCATGCAAACATGAGCCCTTTAAGTTTCCTTCTGTTGTATCAGATGCTTCCAGCACTTTACATCCATCTATGAGTCTAAGCTAATTCCTTGCTAGTGAGCAGCCAGATATTCAGCTTCTAACTATTTCAGAATGTCCATGTTAAATATGTGGCACAGTCGAAAGAAATTTAGAGGTAATTCATTTTTATTCTTATTGAATTCAGTATCTGGACAGAAGTTACCTATATTATCAGGAAAGAAAATCACAAATACTTTTGCAAAGGAGAACAACTAGAATATTAAGCTTCTGTGTTTATTTCCAGAGTTTATTCGATAAGAAACTTCCCCCAAATATGGTAAATGTGTATGCAACTATTTGTGGCTAGAATTCTGACAAGAATATGTTTTTCAGATTCTCTGTGCTACATGGAAAACTGTCTCCTACCTACTCCTCATTGTTGAACCTAGAATACATAAAATCATTCTCATAAGAGCAAGGGGTAATTTCCAAGATTCTTTCCAGCTACATGTTTAAAAACAATGTTGTTATTATTTCGGTGATGTGCAGAAGAGCTGTGGTTTCATAAGTCAGGTAATGAGCACATTTCCTTTTGGGCAATGTCACCCCTTCCTTTACTTCTCCCAGTTCCGCCCCCCCCCCCATCCCTACCCATAAGTTGTGTAGCTCATTTTCATCATGGTGGCTACTGAGGACGGTGACTGCACTTGTTCACCCTCTGTCCCTCCATTTCTGTACCCTTTCTTCCTCCACTCAAAAGATAGAATAACACACACACACACACACACACACACACACACACACACGAAAAAACAAACACCATCTCCACCAACCCAGCTACATGATTTTTCTCTCACTTCAGGTTGTGATAATGCGCCATATTCCAGGCTTGTAAAAACAGCTCTGTCATCTTCACCAGTGGCCCACTCGCTCTCCTCTGCTTCTCAGAGAGGAGACAGTCCATGCAGAAGACAGTTTGGTGAACTGGCTGGTGCGCTCCCTGGCCTGTCAGAGTGATCCCAACTCCGCTGGGGAGTTCTCGGTTCCACTTCCCTGAGCAGTTGGCATGACAGCCTAGGTAGAAATCGGCCCAGAAAGAAAGCTTCAGGCTTGCTGTCTCCTTGCTTTCTCCATAGAAAGTGTTGGCTTCCTCCAGACTCTGGCAGTGACTTGAAGGTTTACATTGTTAATCTTCTGAGCAGAAGTAATAGGAGATTAAGACATGACCAACTGACCAACAGAAAGAGGGCTTATTTATGAAGATCACCTTAGCTATGAAGGAATCCAGGGAGGTGGAAGGCAGGAAATAGCATCTTGCAGAAAAGAAATAAAAAAATAGGGAGGTAATGAGTGCTTGGTGGTAATGAGTGCTTTGTGGTCTCATAAATCAGAAATGCAATCAGAGGAGAAGGAAAAAATAGCGTCCCTGAAATTTCTACTGTATTCTTTATTCTGCATTTCCATGAAAAATAAAAATAGGGAAGTTGAGAACTTTAGGAAAGTTATAAAGGAAGGGTATTCTCTGTTCATATGCTGTGTGTGCTGTGATTAGCTCAAATTTTACTTGTGTAGCATTCTCTTTCGATTTCTGCAAAGTCATACTTTTATTTTAAAATTTGGAACTATGTGGCAAAAAACGCAGGTCCAAACCTGTTATCCTAGCTAGCTACTTAGGAGGTAGAGACTGAATGGGAGGATCATAGTTCAATATCATCCTGCACAACAAATAAGCAAGACCTTCACTAAGATGGGCATAGTGATGTACTTCTGGACTCTCAACAGTTCAGGGGGTATAGTTTAAGAGGATCACAATCTGAAGTTGGTCCTGGGCAAAGATGGGAACCCTATCAAGAAAACTAGCTAAATCAGAAAGGAATGGGAGTATAGATCAAGTGATAGAATGCCTGCATACCAAGTGCTTCTGAGTGCTGGAGTAAAGACCAAATGAATTTTATTTAATACTTTGAGAGTATCCCACATTCTGTGGCCAAAACCTGTCCATTCTTTAAAACATGATTGCATTTGTGAAGAATTAGAGTCTACATATTGAAGGACATCTTTGCTTGAAGTCATGTTATGAATATATTCTTTTTCAGGCCCCCTTTGAAAGGTTCTCTGCCCTTGTGTTTATAATGAGGTGACTATATTTTTGTAGCAGCGGGATAGATGGGTTTTATCCAAATTTGTCATGCACAGTGTTCCAGAAACCACATGGGACAACCTTCCACTGAATCTAGAGTAAAGATGAACCACTGACCTATATTTTAAGTATGTTATATTTTCTCCCCTAGATTTATTGAATGTCAAGCTCAATCTTTCCAGAATGGAAAGCTATGTTGTGGTCATAAGTGTCTAGATGAATCAGCGAGTCATCCTATGCCAACTTTACTTTTTCAGCATATGTGTCTTTTCTCATAATTAGTGTGCTCAAAGATTTTGGTGTTTTGTGTTTTTTTTTCTCTTCATCTATTATTTCGTACCTAGCAAGAAGGGGAGAAAAGTTAATTCTTAATTTTTAAGTAAAAAGTACTGGATATTTATGGTTTTCTCTCTCCATTTTAGATTTTGTTGATGGGCCTATACACCACAAGGCCTTACTTATATCTGTAACTGTCTGCAGTCTGCTCTTGGTCCTTATTATTTTATTCTGTTACTTCAGGTAAGTTTCCCCTATGTAGAGATGCAACTTTGCATTTATTGTATCATTATTATGTTATTATATTCTACCACTATTAACTGTTGATTTTTTTGTTTTTGTATTTTTTTTTGTTTGTTTTTTTGGTCAAGGTTTCCTTTGGCCTACTTAGATCTTAAGTTTAACTGTGAATATTGGTAATTGTTAAAGAAGCTATTTAAAGATAATACAAGGTCCTAATACTAGTCTCTGTTCTGCTTTTGACATCAAAACTACGTAGGCAAGAATTTCTTACCTAAGGAAAAGAGGGTAGTTAGGGAATTCAAGCCTAGTCATGACTTGATTTTGATTTTTTTTTTTTGTCAGTCATGGGGCTTGAACTCTGAGCCTGAGCACTGTCTTTCAGCTCTTCAGCTCAAGGCCAGCTCTCTACCACTTGAGCCACAGCACCACTTCTGGCTTTTTCTGTTTATACGGTGCTGAGGAATCAAACCCAGGGCCTATTGCATGTGAGGCAAACACTCTACCATGGAGCCACCTTCCCAGCCCCTTGAGGTTGATTTTTTTTAAATTTATTTTTATTTTTTTTTTTAAACTCAAGGCCTCACACTTACTCAGCTTCCTTGTTGCCACTTGAACAGCATTTCCATTCTGGCTTTTTGTTGGTTATTTTGGAGATGGAGCCTCTAGACTCAAGAAGAAAATTCTCAAGAAGAAATTTTTCCTTGCATTATTGATTTGAGGCATTGTGTAGAGATGAAACATTAAATTATTATATTAAATTTTCAGTCACTTATAAAACATGTTTTCAAGTTTGTGAAATATTGTTACCTTTGTGTCAATTTCTTTGCCTTCTAAGCAATTTAGTATTCATTTGTGATACTTCCCAGATGGATAAATTAAGTATGCAAATAAGTTCATTTAAAAATTGAAGATATTATAATTAACTGAAAGTTTATGTTTTAGTTTTCATTTTTTATACTAGTCCTGGAGCATGAATTCAGGACATGGGCACTGTCCCTTAGCTATTGTGCTCAATACTAGCACTCTACCACTTGTGCCACAGTTAATTGGACAGTCAATTGGTTAATTGGAGGCAAGACGCTCACAGACCTTCCTGCTCTGGCTGGCTTTGAACCATAATTCTCAAACCTTAGCCTCCTGAGAAGCTAAGATGACAAGTATGAGCACTGGAGCCTGACTTTGTAATTAACTCAAAGTTTTAAAAGTTTAATTCCATTCCATTTGTATTTGTTATTACTTTGTATATTACCTTGTATGGCAGTCAGTTGTCATGATTTTTGTAAATCAAAAATTTTAATCTTTAGTTAATTAGGGACCAGAAAGGAAAAGATTTTAGGAAAGTATTGCAAATACTAACAGAATACAGTCTACTCGAAAAACATAAAGTAGAAAATTTATAAATAGCTGAGACTGAGTCAAAAGATTGTGATTAATTAAAAACAAATCAGTGAGTAGGATAATTGTGATTTGTATCCTGACACAATAACCAAGTATAACAAATACTAAGCATTTGATCTTTTGTAGTCATGTGCTACAAGTTTGTGACCTCTCTTTACCTTTAGTCCACCATTGCACGTAAGTTTGTAACTTATCTCCCCTTGTCCAACCCTTAGGTATAAAAGACAAGAAGCCAGACCAAGGTACAGCATTGGGTTGGAGCAGGATGAGACTTATATTCCTCCAGGAGAGTCCCTGAGAGACTTAATTGAGCAGTCTCAGAGCTCTGGAAGCGGATCAGGCCTCCCTCTGCTGGTATGACAGGAACATATCCCCCGTTGAAAGGAAATGTCTTCTGAAGGGAAATGTCAGCAAACACAGGGTTTCATTTTACTGAAACAGATAGGGCTCTGAAGGAGCAGCAAGCTCTGGGAAGCAAGGTGGACATCGGATCTTAGGCGCAGGCTTTCCTGATAACATTTTGACATTAGTGAGGCTAAGCTGATTGTTTTTTAATGTAAGTGTCTGGTTACAGCCCAGACCCTCAGACATCCTGATGAAGAGCAGGTTACAAAACCTTAAACGAGGGACCATCTTCCCTCTGTTTTCGGTGTGGATAGCATTACTGCACTTTGGCCTGGCTTTTGAAGGCAGAAGTATTGCGCTCATCTAGGATCTGAGAACTTTGACAAAGGAAGAAGTCTACATTTCAGCTGCAGGGTTAGGTTTCAGGTTGAAGGCTGACCTTTTCCATTCAGAAGAGGTTTAATGTTCGGCTGGTCAGTACTGTCAAACTTGATGGGAGACTATACCATATACAAAGCATTGACTTCAACGAAAAAGCTACTTGATTCTTTTTGGGAACCATCAAGTGAGATTTTTGAGTTCAGTATGGTAATAATTTTAATGACAAATATCTTCCTAGTCTCCATTACTTTTAATATCTTCTCTATTAGTTTTGAGACCCTTTTTTTAAGAACTTAACCAACTGTTTTAATCATTCTGATCAAAATAATGGTGCTTCAGATTAAAGATTAAAAAAAAACTTCTGTAATGATCAAATAGCTTAGTTTTACAACTTAATATTCCACAGCTACCATTAGTGTGTTTGTGACTCTGTAGCATTATACTTTATGTTTAAAGAAAAGTACAAATAGTAAACTTCCATTTGGTTTTAATGAATTAAATACACCTGCTGTTAGATTGGTTCTACTTCCGTTTCCTCCTTTTAACTCGTCTTATTACTGGGACGTTTCCTTCCTAAAAATCTCAGATCTTTCTGTGTTATTTTATGGCTGTAACATTTTAACACCTCTGCTCTTCACAGGCCTTCTTTCTTCCTCTGTTTTTAATTTTTCTATTTTCTTAACAACCATTAGTTGTATGGAGAGTTTTATTTTGGCATGTCCATATCAATGTATCGTGACCAGACTCACCCTCCATCATTCTTCTGTAACCCCTGGCCCTTCCCAAATTAACTTCAAAAAGCATCCTTGTGGGGCTGGGAAGGTGGCTCAATGGTAGAGTGCTTGCCTTGCAAGCATGAGGCCCTGGGTTCCTCATTACCACATACACAGAAAAAGCCAGAAGTGGGCACTGTGGCTCAAGTGGTAGAGCACTAGCCTTGAGCTGAAGAGCTCAGAGACAGCACCCAGGCCCAGAGTTCAAGCTCCATGACTAACCAAAAAAAAAGCATCCTTGTTCAATTTTCACACCTGTTGGTGACCATATTCACCCACCTCCCTCCCTCCCCTCCCCTCCCCTCCCCCCCTCCCTCCCCTTCCCTCCCCTCCCCTCCCCTCCCCTCCCCTCCCCTCCCCTCCCCTCCCTCCCTCCCTCCCTCCCTCCCTCCCTCTCTTCCTTCCTTCCTTCCTTCCTTCCTTCCTTCCTTCCTTCCTTCCTTCCTTCCTTCCTTCCTTCCTTCTGTCTGTGTTTTATTTTGGTGCTGGGGATTGAGCATAGGACCTTACACAAGCCAGGCTTGACCTCAGCCCTATTTATTTGGTGGCAAGTTCTCATTGTGTAGCTCAGGCTGACTATGAACTCTATAACTGCCCTGCATCCTTCCCCTCCTATCCCCCCTACTCAGATTACAAGTGTGTACTATCTAGCTCCACTATGTTACTTCTTTATGTCTATAAATTCTATAAATTACCACAGATATTAGCCCCTTGATTTATAGAACCACTGACAAAAGTGTAGGTGGGATAAATATCATATATGCAGAAACATTTGGCTTGAATTACTTAGCTCCATTTTTTTCTTTGCTGCATGCTATAATTCTTCAGAGTCACTTTAAAGCTTACTGAATGACTTGTTAGTGTAACTTTCTCTTACTAGTATTTCTCTATAGTCCATTGTTTTGCTTGTTTGTTTTGTCCTTTTTATTGTGACAACTGTTCTACTTTGAAAATGTCTTCAATAATGTCTTCATGTTCATTTTTTGATCTTCTATATCTTAAACATACCATGTAGTTACTTGGCATTTCATATCTGATAATTACAATATAAAATCTGAAGGTATTAAATTCTGGTGGGTTGTTACTGTTGATTTTCAATTATAGTCATTGTTTCCATTTGTTTTAAGGAATTTATTCTATAAAATCTTTTTCCTTTTCATCTTCTGTTTTCTTTCTTTTCTTTTTTCACTTCCCACCATCTTGGAGATTTTTCTCTATTTTTTTTTTTGGTGAGTCAAACAATGCATTACAGTTTCTTTTTTACATTATATCTGGGATTAAGTTGTGTGAGGGCTAAGGTTTTGTGGGGGAGTTTATTTTTTACTCAGTAATAGATGTAGAACCATTTCATCAAGGGCAGATTTGTATTTTGGTTTGCTGGGAGCCATGGCTTGGTACCAGCCAAGGGCAAATTCTGTACCATTTGAAAATCTCAGCTTAATGCTGAAGTCCTAGAAAAGATTCCTGTAGTTTCAAAGCAGTTGAGGTTTAGACTCTACGTCCTACTGTTTGTTTTGTTCTCTGCTTGACACCAACTTGGCATTTATATTTACTTAACATGTTTAGTTTTCTACTCTGGTCTTTGCTTCCTTGATACCTCTTCCTCCTTCCCTCTGTCCCTTCTTTCTTCTCTATCTCTCGTGCTTTTTTTTTCCTGCTTTGACCTTTCCGGTATTTCTTTATGTACACCATGGTGTGTCATATTTCATTGTGTTTGAATGTTTCTGTTATTAGTAAGACATTAGTATGGAATTGCAGGCATTCTGTTCTGTCAGGTGCCGTACCATTTTTCTCTACAAAAATTGTGAGAGGTACAATGAAGTGTTTGATCATGTAGAAGCAATGTTTTGGTCATTCGGAATCCACAATCTGAAAAATGTTTAAAAGAGGACATTAATAAATAAAGCAAAAAATAAAGCACTAAATGCTTTTACAAGCAGTAATTGTTTCTTGTCTGGAGGGGAAAAGAAATTCAGCTAATCTGTAATGCTGCAAAACCACTAACAGAGTGGTTTTGGATTTCCCAGGTCCAAAGGACGATAGCTAAGCAGATTCAGATGGTGAAACAGATTGGAAAAGGTCGCTACGGAGAAGTGTGGATGGGAAAGTGGCGTGGAGAAAAGGTAGCTGTGAAAGTATTCTTCACCACTGAGGAGGCCAGCTGGTTCAGAGAGACAGAAATATACCAGACGGTGCTGATGAGGCACGAAAACATTCTGGGTGAGTGAAAATCTGGGCAGCAGTGTTCCTACTTTTCCCGTATCCTTTATTTTTTAATTTGCATATTAGCTCATTTGTCTGGATGGACCTGTTAGGAAGCCGATAGAAAGTTTCTTCTTGTCATGAACCTGTAATCGTGTAATGAGAGACTTCACAGGAGGTTGGCAGAGGCACTTCTGTGAATGGGGGAAAGTCTGGAAATGGAACACTCAACCAATGGGCTTTTTCTTCAGAAACAGGAAATGCAAAAGTAATAGTAGAATTTCTTAGGGATTTGGAGAGGCATATTTTTGTGTAAGTGTTAGGAAACATTTATACCCTGCGGGCATTTTATCTGCAGTGTTTATTTATGTCAAAGATTTGTGTTGAAAATCAATTCACATCTCCTTTTCTCAGGCTAGGATGTGGTCTGTCTGGAATTCTAGTAGAAGGCACAGAAGTCTAGCTTTCTTCACACAAGCGATGGTTTGGTGAACAATATCTTATATGTCATTGTAAAGGCACAAATGAATTGAAATATCAATGGATGATCAGAAAAAGGATTATGTTTCCTTTTCCAAACCCTCAATTTTGCTCTGTCCTTAGAAGTTCAATTATCTGTGGTATGAATGGTTTAATACCATCATGACCACAGAAAGCTAAGTGAGATGCTAAACAAAAGATATCTGTGAACAAAAAAAGTGGTATTTGAAAATAGGAATGAATCCCAATTCTGTTCTGCAAACTTCTTCCTCCCAATTCTAATCTTTTTTTTTTTTGTTCCCCCTAAAGGTTTCATTGCTGCAGATATTAAAGGGACGGGGTCCTGGACCCAGCTGTATCTGATCACAGATTACCATGAAAATGGTTCGCTATATGACTACCTGAAGTCCACCACTCTAGATACTAAGTCCATGCTGAAGTTAGCCTACTCTGCCGTCAGTGGCTTGTGTCACATACACACAGAAATCTTCAGTACCCAAGGCAAACCAGCAATTGCCCACCGAGACCTGAAAAGTAAGAACATCTTGGTGAAGAAAAATGGGACTTGCTGTATCGCTGACCTGGGCCTGGCTGTTAAATTTATTAGGTTAGTATCCAAGCAAGTAATTATACCTTCCAGATTCTATCAGTTTTCATAGATGGTACATGCTGCAGATCATCTGTTTAGACAGATGAGAGTTTATCCGTTTCCAGCTGTGGGAGCGGGGGATGAAAAACACCCCCAAATATTTTCCTTGTGATGCAGTGTTTGCACCAGTCCTCAGCCATGACCCAATTTAGGGACTAGATGTCAGAGGATTGTAGCTGTCATTAAGCTCTAAGGAATCGAGGTAACATACACCTGGGAATCTGTGGGTAATAGGAAGAAGTTTCAGGTCTTAGAGTGAAAAGGGCAACTATTTATTTCTTCTGTGCAGTATAGGAAAGATTATCTCCATAACCATTTTTGTTCACTGGGCTTTGTATTGTTTTGGGCTGTACTAGAATTTGAACTCATGTTCTCACTCTTGCTGGACTGGTACTCAACTACTTTGGCCAAACTTTCGGCACTGCTTTTTTTTGGGGAGGGGGGTTGTATTTTGGAGATGGAATCTAGGTAATTTTTTTGGTCTCAAACTCCAATCTTAAGCTCTTAAGTAACTAGGATTATAGACATGAGCTAATGGCACCCAGTTACCATACGCATTTTTGAGAAACATTTAGGAACTAATAAAGTAAACACATTTGGTCTATTATACTATAAGTTAAGCACTGGCTATAAATGTAGCCAGTCTTGTGGGGTGTGGCTGTCAGGGTTCTTTGAGGTGTTGGTTGCTCAGTATGGAAGCTTCAGGTCCCTGGTTCTTCAAGCTCTATTTTCTATTACCTCCTCTTTAATCAGAGTCATTCCTTTTATCTCCAATGTGATCTAATGAGAGTGAATGGTTCCTCTGTTCTGAATATAAAACAAAAGGAGTTTTCCAACCAAGAGTGCACAAAAACCATCATATAACCACCTTCTTAAAAAAACAGCTGTTGCACAGCCTTTATTATATGATTGGACCAGCATGGATTTTCTTTAAAGATTCTGTAGCATGTAGAGAAGAATAATGGAGAAAAAGTCACATATGTGATTAAAAGCTTGGGAAGTGAAACTAATGAGTTGGTATGTTTACTTGCAAGTAAACTCTGGAGGTGTGAGTTAATAACAGACCACAGATCTGTTATTTTTAGAAATGGCAAATTGAAGTTGATCTATAAAAACCAAGCCAGGGAAGTGAGGGTGGCTATAAATTTAAGTGAGAAATAGGAACATCCCGCCAATAAAGATTATGAAATCTCCTCTCCCTTCTGAATTCTTTCCTGTGACCCGCAACCCTTTTAAAGTCTCATCGCAAAGAAACTTCCCATCATTATTTTCCATCGATCTCAATCGATTCTCTCTATCTTTCCATGACCTGTTGAAATTCTCCAAAGAGGTCCAAAGGCACTCTCCTTTGTCCATCCTAGTCATTTTTGATGTCTTGTGCTTTGACTTCTGTTCCCCCCTGCCCTGCCACTTCTTTATGGAGAGGACCAAGGGTGACACACAAATCACCATCTTCTTGACACCCCTTATCCACAGTGCCCAAATCGCTCCCTTCGTTTTCTTGTGTCCTGCTTTTGAGGTCAAGACTTGCGTGTCTCTCCTCTTCCCTGCTTACCTTTTGCCTTTACCTCTTTACCTACTGTGAGATGGTCTGCTGTTGCTTTCTAGTTCCTAGTTAAATCGATCCATTCGAAAACATAGGGTAGCTCACATTTTTCCTCTGTTCCCTCATGTTTGATTTGCTCAGTTAAATGGATTCTTTTATTCTCATCAATTGACATTCCCATCTTACCTGGTTCATTTGGGGCCCTCTCTGCCATTTTTCTAGGTTCTAGACTAAGGCATGTTGCTATATCTTCACCTCTTTCTTTCTGCTCTTCCATCTCTTCTCCATGCCACAGCTAGATTGATTTTCTTGAAGCATAATTGAGGACATCATATTTTCATAGTTTCCTGTGACTTTGGGTTAAAACTTAGTTGGTCTCTTTGTTTTCGGATCTTGGGCTTTTCTTCAGGCTTTTTCTTACCAACACAACTCATCTTTGGCAATATTTATTCTGACCATTATATTTTGCACAACCACAGGTTGTTTTATTATTTATTGACTTATTTTTAGTGGTATTGGAGTTTTCTTTTTTTCTTTAAGTAGTTGTACAAAGAAATTCCCATTCTACAAAACAGTATATGACTACAAACTGTCTGACAACATGTTACCCATGGCTCCTAACTCACACCTCCTCTCACTGTTTTCTTTTTTTAAAATTGAGATTAGGTGATTACATAAATTTCACATATTTCACAGTAGTGTGAACCTTCACAAGGCAAATTGTCATTATCATGGTCTATAAAGTTTAGAATTCCATGAGCTTTGACAATACAAGTATTTTTTCCACATTAGGTGATATTTCCATTTCTTTCCTTTTGCTTAGTGTAAGCTGGTCCCTCTTTCCCTCTCATTCCCTCCCTTCCCACTGCTGTCTTTGAGTTGCTTAGTTCATTTTCATCTATGTCCAGTGCAGCTGATGGACCCCTCTTTTATGTTTTCCTGTTTCCCACTGATTCTGCGTCCTCCTCCTTGCTTCCCTCAGTAGTGTGCATATATATATATATATATATATATATATATATATATACACACACACACACACACCACATACGTGGTCAAGAACAGGGAGTCATTTAGCAATGATATGACAACATGCATGGAAGTCCTTTGTTTCTCAAGTCCTAATTACTTTTCCATATTGCCTTGCATTTTGGCTTTAGCATCCGCATATCAGGGAGACCATGTGCTATTTGCCTCTTTACTCTTCTTTACCTCACTCAAAATTCAGGGCTTCTCACTCTGTAGGCAGGAGCTCTACCACTTGATCCATGCCCCTAGTCCTTTATGTTTTGAGCATGTTTTTGAAAGAGTCTCAATTTTATTTTTTGCCAGATTAGGCATGGACAGCAATCCTCTATTTATACTTTCTGTGTAGTCAAGTGACAGACACAGACCACCACTCTCGACTGTTGGTTGAGATGAGGTTTTATGCATTTTTTTGTCTGGGCTTGATGATGATGTCAGCCTCTCAAGTATCTGGAATTACAGGAGTGAGCCACTGTGGCCACTTCATTTGCTTTCTTTGACTAAACTGCATTCTTTCTTTGTTCTCCTTATGTAACTCAATCTCATCCCTGCCTGGCTTTTGATGGCATCATCTCTAGCAAAGAAGGTTCCCTGCATCGCTGTGAACCTTAATCTAGTCTCAGAGTTGCCTCAAACTGCTGTGTCTGGCTGTAATTAGGAATAATGACACTGCCTTCTGCATCTCTGTAGTAATTTCCTGGTCCTTGTCTGCCTGGTATTTTAATTATTTTGATATTGGCTTCATCTCTCTTGCTAGTGTCTGGGCATCGTGAGAACAGGATTCATGCCAAATTCAATATATTTCCCATTTGACATGACACAGTAAGCCACCCATTGTATTCCAACTGTTTAAAATCGATACATGTAGGCCTAGCAAACTAACTGAGACCTCATGTCCTTTATTGACCTTAAGACAAAGGAAGTCGGTAGTGTATTTCTGAAACTTCATTCTGTTTATTGTTAGGGGAATTAACTGAATTAATTTCAGGTAAACTCAGATTCTAGGAAGTAAAGTGACCCCACACAGTAAGGATTCCCAAATTTATGAGAATGGCAGCTCAGGTGTGTGCTGTCTAGAATTAAGTAACTAAAGATTAGCTGGGCATTTGTGTATAGGAAACTTCACTTTCCTCTTCCATAAGGGGAGGTGATATTGGAGAGCTTTTGAGATTGTTTCTTTTATTTATTTATTTATTTGATCCATCATGGGGCCTGAACTCTGGGCCTGGGCACTGTCCCTGAGCTCTTCAGCTCAAAGCTAATACTCTACCACTTGAGCCACAGTACCACTTCTGGCTTTTTCTGCTTATGTGGTGCTGAGGAATCAAACCCAGGGCCTCATGTATGCAAGGCAAGCATTTTACCACGAAGCCACCTTCCTAGCCCCCTTATTCTTTTATTATTATTTTTTTTGATGCCTGTCTGGGGGCTTGAACTTTAAGGCCCTGTCTCTGAGCTTTTTTGCTTAATGCTAGTGCTCTACTACTTGAACATAGCTCCCATCTCTGGCTTTTTCCCCCCCTGCTAATTGGACGTAGAGTTGCTCAGACTTTTTTGCCCAGATGGCTTCTGATAAAAATCCTCAGATTTCAGCCTCTTAAGTAGCGAGGATTGCAGGCATGAGCCAATGGAGCCAAGATCTTATTTGTATCTGTTGAAATTTGCACTTTTTAGATTTTTAGCTTAATTTTTAAACTCACTTTATATCGATATGTGTTTCTTTGTTTTTTTCTCATTTTCTGATTGTTTTATAGTGTGTGTATGTGTATGAGTGTATGTGAAGTTACATGCTTGCAAATGCACAGATGCTTAGTGTTTTATTGCAGGAAGTGTCCAAGGCAAGCCACTGTTGAATTTTCAGACTTTTTATATGTTAACTTCCTGTGAGAGCTTAGTCCTTACTTAGTTGTCTACATGATGGTAAGTGTTCTGTTAGGCTTTTAAGTCCTTTCTGGGAGATTTCTAGGCAAGGAGCGGGGAGGGGATTTCCTTGGAGATTTCTTGCTCTTGAACTTTTCTTGCCCTGTATTGGTTTCTTTGTGCATTCTTTCAAACGTGATGCAAAGGCTAATGCAGCTGAGATTTAATTCAGGTGGTCCCTGGCAAACATCACTATTACCTTGGCCTGCCTTGGGAAGAAGAAAGAATAACACACAAACTGCCTTGAGAGAAATCACATAGCTCTTCGTGTTTCACTCTAGAGAATCAAACAACTCCTCTGGTACTTCCCTGTCAGGGTAAAATATTTTCTTAGGGGGCAAAATAAATTGTAGCTTGCAGCCTGTCTGTACTGAATTTTAAATAGAAGGTCTACTGCGAAGACTGGGGCTGTTGTACAGGTCTCCCGACTGAGGATGATCCAGATGCCAGCGAAATGAGTGGCCAGTCGGGAGCGTGATTTGATGTTTGCTTCCTGCCAAAGCTGAGATGGGAAATGTATATAAGCCATGCTCAGGTTTATTTTTCTGTTGAGATGAGGTCCCCAGAACTTTATGCCCAAACTACAACCATGGTTCACCCTTTCTCATCCTTCTGCATAGCTAGGTGTAAGCCATTATAGGTAGTAGTTGAGATGGAAGTCCCACTATTTTGTTTGTTTGGCCCAGGCTGGCCTGGAATTTAAGTTCTCCTATCCCATTCTTCTGGAGGTAAGATTCCATGATCCATGGACATCCAATTGATGTGTACATTTTCCAGTTGTTAATTCTGCTAGGTTCTTTTGACTAATAATATACATATATATGATAATATAAACACAAAATACTATTTTAGAAATGCTCCTTAGGGTATTTTAATATTAGCACATATTAAGAGTTTATCTTATTATCCTCTGGTCTTCCTTTTTGAGAGAAATAAAGTGTTGAAGGTAGTCTGCTTGTGTTGACTTCCCTATTTTATTCGCTTTTCTCCTTGTGGAAGTCATTAATATCCTGTTCATATTTTCTGCTATGACCTTATACTCCGACTGCGTATAACGTAGCTACTGGAATTATTTTGTAACTTTGGAGTCATTTTCACTGCCTCCACACCTTTTCTGTGATATGCATCTTTTCCTGTCAACCTTGTTGGTTCACCCCTCTCTACTCCTCTGTGCAAAAAGTGGCTAGATCAAGCTGCAGACACCCTGATGATCTTTTATGCTCCCTTCCTGGACCCATTTCTTCTGATCCTCTACCTTCCTCATATATTAACCAATGCTATTTTCCTTCCTTTTATTTGTGGCATTCTAGTATTAAGTCAATTTAATTTCTATTTGGGGCCTTGAAGATGAATACAAGCTCAACTTTTTTTCTGCCATTATCTGAGAACAAGGAAAAAGATGTCACTGTCAAGTGGAGAAATGCAATTGAAGTACTTTCCAGCATGGAAACCTGTTTGAGAAGGGAGCTCTAACGTTTTAGAGAATATTTATAGATCAGACACAAATTGATTATAATTAACATGCTTGTTGTCAAAACATAGTGCTAAAGGCATTTGCCATTTGGTTCATAGTTATCTTTTACAAAATTAATTTGTTCAACAAAATTCTCATGCCCTGAGATAATGGCACTCTCTCATCTGATGGCCTTTATATATCAAAGATTTATTTTTTTCCTCTTTAAATTATCTATAACAAAGATTACTGTGAACAGGCGTTTCCTGCTTTCATCTAAAGTTCACTGTTTCCCTCTGTATGTACAAGACACCTTGAGGGTGGAAATGGATTGGGGTTTTTCTCTTTAAGAACATACTAAATGCTTATGCTAGATATTTGGGGATTATCCAAGAATTTCTCTTTAATAATTTCTTCCTTTGATCAACTTGGGAGTATTGGCGTTACATCTTTATTTCTTTACTTTCATGAACTAATTAAGTGTCTCATGCATCCCAGGACCTGAGAGAATCTTACATGTTTTACCTCACTGTCAGCCCAGTGGTTTAGTGGTTTGCCATTGTGGGCTCCGAACCCTGGTTGCAGCTCACTTAGCACTGAAGTGGAGGCCGCCATTTGGGACCGTATCTTACAGTGTTTATTTCCCCCCAAGTCCATGGAAAGCAACAATAAACCAACCACAGAGTCAAATTTTAATGAAGCTGGAGATCATCCTTTCTTCCTTTTTAAATAAAACTACAAAATGGGTATCAGGGGTTCACACGTATAATCCTAGCTACTCAGGAAGCTGAGATTTGAGAATTGGAGCTTGAAGCCAGCCCAAATAGGAAAGTATGAGACTCTTCTTTTTTTCTTCGGGTCCAGTTGTGGCCTTGAACTCTAGGCCTGGGCGCTGTCCCTCCACTCTTCACCTCAAGGCTAGCACTCTACCACTTGAGCCACAGCACCACTTCCAGCTTTTTTTGGTATGCTTATGTGGTGTTGAGGAATCAAACCCAGGGGCTTCATGCATGCAAGGCAAGCTCTCTACCACTGAGCTACCTTCCCAGCCCATGTGAGACTCTTATCTCCAATTAACCAGTAAAAAAGCCAGAAATGGAGATGTAACTTAAATGGTAGAGCACCAGCCTTGAGCACCAAAGCTAAGGGACAGCACCTACTTCAAGCCCCAGTATGTACATGCACACACACACACACACACACACACACACAAGGCCATTTGTTCCATGAAACATTAGTGAAAATAGAGAATTTTAATTTTGTTTTCCTTCCTTATCAAAGTGTTTGAAAATTTTAAGTCTACCTTCCCACTACATTGTTAAAAAAGAAATTAAAGTTAAAAAGCCTTATATCTCGGGGTGGGGCGGGGGGAGGATGGGAAGGGATGGGAAGGGGAAACAAAGGAGGAGGCTACAATGCTTGATAAGAAATGTACTCATTATCTTGCCCATGTAATTGTAACTCCTCTGTACCGTATTTTCACAATAAAAAAGCCTTATATCTTGCTTTAAAAATACTGTCTCATTGAAATAGTTGGCATTGAACAAGATGAATTGTATTCATAAACTGATTTGTTAAACGGTCACTCCTTTGTACAACTATTAAATAAAAATAAAAAAAGAAGAAATAGGATGAAGCTGAAAAGCATTTCTACATTAAAAAAATACAGCATCAGACTGGTGGTATAACTCAGTGGTAGAGTCCTTTCTTGCATATCGAAGTCCCTGGGTTACATCCCAGAATTGTAGAACAATAACAACAAAAACCTCCTAACACAGGACTGTCTCAGACAAACAACTATGTTGTATCTAAAATACAGAGGGAGGAAACGTATTTTTAAAGATATTTAGCAAAACAGTTCTAATTTGATCTTGTAGGAGCCAACTTTTATGTGTTACATCTTCATTCTGAGTTGGTCTCATCTGCCCTGTGACTGTTTACATAATACTATGGGACTGGCCGGGCGCTGGTGGCTCACGCCTGTAATCCTAGCTACTCAGGAGGCTGAGATCTGAGGATTGCAGTTCAAAGCCAGCCCGGGCAGGAGAGACCATGAGACTCCTATCTCCAATAAACCACCAGAAAACCGGAAGTGGCGCTGTAGCTCAAGTGGTAGAGCGCTCACCTTGAGCTGAGGAGTTGAGGGACAGCGCCCAGGCCCAGAGTTCAAGCCCCACGACCGACAAAAAAAAAAAAAAAAAAATACTATGGGACTGTTTCAGGTGATTTTTGGCAAGAAATGTTTCTCTTTGTTTTTTTCTTTCTACGAAATGTTGTATTTCCGGGAAGTTTTTTTTTTTTTAATCCACCTTTTATGAACGCACCTATTTCAAGGATCACCTGGATGACTTGTCATTTGTTAGGCCTGTTTGATGCTGACAATTCTTTGCTGTTACCTTTTCCTCAGTGACACAAATGAAGTTGACATCCCACCCAACACCAGAGTTGGTACCAAGCGTTATATGCCTCCGGAAGTGCTGGATGAGTGCTTGAACAGAAATCACTTCCAGTCTTACATCATGGCCGACATGTACAGTTTTGGACTCATCCTGTGGGAGGTGGCTAGGAGATGTGTTTCAGGAGGTAAGAAACAGTGATATCTTTGAAAAGCTATGAGAAGAGATGCTATAAACCCTTCCTCATCAGAAGCCCATGTTATCGTAATAATGTCTACTAAATCAGGTTTGCTTTACTTTTCTCCTTTATATCCGTTGATGCAGTCAGAGTCTTTCCAGGAAATATCTGACATGTTAGAATAATCTTTGACAGCCTCCTCTTCTCCATCTACCACTAAGGTTTCCTCGCAGACAGTCTCTTGCCTTTTCAAAGGACATCCTCAGCTAATCTTTGTTGTCTCTTTTTTTCTCTTGTGTTCTTCCTCCTGAAATTGCTCCATTCATCAAGTCAGTCCCCTTTCTATTCCTTAAAGCTTTCTTTCTCTCTCACTTTCTGAGCCTCATTTCTAACCCCAGAACCCCATTCCCTTATCATATCCTAGGCAGACATGACTCTAGAAACAAACATGATCCTTAATTCATTTCTTTCTTGTCTATAAAACTTCCTCATAAAACAATTTGGAAACAGTTCTTTTTTGTATATACAAAAGAAGCAATTCAGAATACTGTTACTATTCATGGTTTTTCTACAAGCAAAAAAAAAAGACTCTCTAAATAAGACCAATTATAATGAAAAGAGCCTTTAATATACAAAAATAGTATTCCCTGAACCATTTTGACTACTGCTGTACAATGTGTTCTAGTAGTTTTTACCTCTTGTTAAAAGTCAGAATATGGCAGGTATGTTATTCTGCACGTGGTTACAATCATTTAAAAAGCCTGCTACTCATTGGAGCTCACCAGACACTGATGAAAGTGAACTATATGACTCGGGAGATGACAGGAAGGAGGGGCTGGGAGAGAGTGAGGGAACAGAAGACACTGTAGGAAAGGAAATGCACTCATGACCTCACTCAAGTAATGGTAATCCCTCTGTCCATCACCTCTATAATAACACTAAAGTAAATTAATACAACTAAAAACTAAAAGCTTGCTACTGCTACTGTTCTTCATAATGGCCAGTTTGAACTCCTGAGAAAAATTTGAACTTGCACTGGGTTGCGATGTGTAAGTAACTAGTACAAGGAATTATTCTTGTCCCTGCTATTCATTTTCAGGCATAGATTTGTTTCCGTGTTCTCTTAAGAATAAGGTGCACTACTGTATCCACTTTACATGGTTATGGGGTTTCAATAAGTACACACAGAGTGAATTCTTGTGTAGAGTCGGTGAATAGCACTTAGCACATAGTAACAATGCTTACTAATTTTCACTTTGGTTAATTGAGCACAACATATTTAGATTCATATTTAAACATAGAGATGGAATATTTACTGGACAAGCATTCATATTCATAGATGCAGAAATACTCGTTTTTCAGTGATACAATGACTTCTACTAACTTTGAGGATTTTGAACCTCTAAGCAAGAGGAAGCAAAACACATTCCCTTTGAAGTGACAGAGCTCTTAAGTCCAGGAGAAAGTTAAGACAGGAAGCTTTTGTTAGCCAGATAGTGAATAAATAAAAATTGCATCATAGGAATGAAGTACGAAAGAATGAACCAAAATGCATATTGACTGATTGCCTCTGTGCCTTGCTTTCCTGCTTGGTGAAGGAGGGAAGAGACTATTTCTGAATTATCTCATTTTTACTTTATTAAGACAAATTTGTAGAAATCAAAGGTATTCCCGAGTACAAGAATATTTTTATAATTTTTTTAGCACATCTAGAGTAAGTCTGCATTGGAAAGTGAAGATGACAGGAGGATGTAGGAGAAATGACCTCAGCTCAGAAGCAAGATAGCTTTGAGTAGGAAATACAGCCTGAATTGCATTGGCTGACTTTGCACACCAAGACTTGAGAAGGATCCTAAGGAGTCTGACACATTTCTCTGAGGATAGAGTTACTGCCTGCTCTAGACCAGCTGCATGGTCTGTATTTCACCCTTTGAACTCAGTTTCCTCATTGTGGACAGGATGTATTAGTACAACACACAAAAGTTTTGGAATTTCCTAAGGTAAATTCCTTTGCATACTGTGCTTGGGGTATGGTAGGCTCTCAAAAAAAAAGCCTTTTCTTTTCCAGAGGTAAAACACAGAATTTTCATTCTTTAAAACTTTTCTTTATGAAGATGAACAGATTTCTGGGCATGTCTTTCTGGTCCAGGTTTTTGGTATTGAAGACACAACAGATTCAGGCTTTTCCAACTTTGAAATCACAGGGCAGGAGAGTTTGGAGATTTTAAACCAAGAATTAAATGACAGCTTATATGGGATTTTTTTTTCTTATTCCAAGGCTTGAACTCAGGGCCTCATGTTTGCGCTCTGTTTGTTTGCTCACTGCTGGCACATTACCACTTGAGCCATGACTCCAGTCTGCTAGTCATTTACAGGCAGAGTCCTGGGGACTTTTTCTTCTTCTGGTTTTCTTTCAATACTCAGAGTTCAGCTTTCTGAGTAACTAGGACTATGGGCATAAGCAATTGATGTCTGGCTGCATGGAAATTTTTGAGGATTGTGTGAAGTAAGGGCTATAGGTCAAAGCCTAGATTTGATTGATCTATAATTTTCAGTGGTTGGCTTTTTCTGTGTCTGGGGTAGTTTACCTCACTGTCCATTGAAGTAATGCCACCAACATGGAAAAAAATAGGAAATGAATGAAGAGGTATGGTCCTTACCTTCTCAAGGACCATTGCCTTGAGAGTTCAAGAGAGGTAAAACTGAAATGAAGTGAGATCTCAGATCTCATATGTGTTGGGCTTGGCAATCTACCTTTCATCTATCTGTCTGTCTGTCTATAATATACTGAGATAATGAAACACAATAAAAGGAAATATAGCCATAAATAATATGTAGGAGAGTGCTCTGTAGTGATTCCAGATAATCACAAATGTTGAGCCACTAATGGGTTGAAGTAATCTGATAAAACCTTTGAACCTCTGGTTTGATGTGATTTTATATGGGTCTTTGTTGATAAGGAAAGGCATAATATGGACCCCAGATTTGGCCAGAGCATTCCTCCAGTGAGTCTAATGATGTTGTGAATAATCTTCCTACTTGTTGATCTCGTCTTGCTCGAGGTGAAAGCCTGAACTATGTATAAAATATAGCTTCGAATAGAATGTGGAAAGATTGTTCAGAACATGGCCCTCTTATCAGTTGTGAATAGAAGTCACATGGAATTATTGCATCGGTGAAGTTAAAAAGAAGACATCTTAAAGGGCAGGAGGGAAAAAAAGTAGAAATGGGCTACTAGAAAATGTGAAATGAAATAGAATTAGTAGAAAATTTAAAGAAGAAAATATAAATCAGTCTTTTGAACTTAAAAAAACAACCATTTTTCTTAGTATTTTTGGTCTATATAATTTTCTAAGCATTTCATGTACAAAAAAGGATTCTTAGAATTAAGCAGGAAAAATATGAGTCTGACCTTTTGTTCCAACAGGATGTGTTTCCAGACTTTCGGTATTCATAATCTCATGCTTTGGTGACACAGTCACCATGTGTCTTCTAAATTTACATTGAGATTTTTGTATAGATTTTTTTTTAAGTTTGGCTTTGTTTAAATTACAAACAAATATGAGGTACTCATTTAACTTGGCCTTTGGAAATTTGAAAAAAACACTTGGAAATTTGTGATAACATTTTTTTCCATATGTTTTCCCGTCAGTGCTTTCTAAATTAGATTACGCATTTTGGGGATCAGTTTTCGAAGGTTGACTTTGTGATTGTCAGCTTGAACCTGTGTCTAATATTGACAGCTATTCCCTGGGAGAACAGTTTTGTATTGCATTACATAGAAAACAACAACACTAAGATAATAATAACAGTAATAATAATACTAATCATAGAAACATGTTTGCAGGTATAGTAGAAGAGTACCAGCTTCCCTATCATGACGTGGTACCCAGTGACCCCTCTTACGAGGACATGAGAGAGATCGTGTGCATCAAGAAGCTACGCCCCTCCTTCCCTAACCGCTGGAGTAGTGATGAGGTGAGGCTGGGCCTAGCCACCTGGCTGGACTGATTTCTAATGGACTTTTCCTCACTGCCAACATTCAAAATACTCACTACCGAAATTCTGCTTTATTTTGGTGGAGATGTGTTTTGCCTTGTTGCAGAAAGGTATATGGAGCAAATCTGTATGGTAGGGCGAATCTGTGCCTTTCATTTCCCCCTAATTTAATTTTACTCTTTCCAAAATATATTGAACAAGCCAACATTAAGCCCACATGTTAGTGGTTTTTTTATTTGCATAAATACTGTTATTTCGTCCTCTGTGTGCTTTTGAAGCACTATGCTTTTTTAAAAAAATTACACACCCAGGTATATTATTCTGACATTTTGATAAGAATAAAAGGTAGGAATCTGACTAGCTGAGGTTTCAATATGGTGAAGTAATTCAAGTTGGCCTAATGGAGCTGGTTGATTTTATGCTGTGTGTCTTGGATCTGATTTGCACAAATCATATCAGCTTGCTTCTAAGGATGTGGTGTTGAGAACCAAATATGCTTGCAAAGGAGCTGCCTGGCAGGTGGAAGTAAGCTGGATAGACCTTACCTCTCCTAACTCTTGACTCCTATCCGTGTATCACTCCACCAACTGTGGACTCCATTACATTCATATTCGAAAGGTCTCTGATAGGTGGAAACATTCAAGATGAGTTGGAAGTCCCCTAAGAGAAAGACAAAAGGCTCTTACCAAACCTGCACCACACCCACTGCAGACAAATGCACAGAGCCTTATGTATAAAGTAACGGTTCAGTGTAAAACTCCTTAAAAAGTGACCTTGAGCTCACTGGCTTTGTGTCTAGTTACAGAAATGCCAAATAACATCCACATTTCCCAGTGAGCTGTGGCACAAAGCACAAGGCTTGGTTACAGTAGCTTGAGATGGTTGTAAGTGTCAGTGTGATTTGACACTCCTTCACTGAGGGTTTCCAGTAGAGGGAATTGTGTGCTTTTCAACAAGAAGACCAATAATTGATGTACCACAGGAAAAAAAAAAACACAAGGAAAAGTTTTGGCAAAGTTGTGTTCAAGTCATTAATATTGTTAAATGGCCAAGTGTTATGCTCATTTACTGTGACTTATGAATAGCTGTATTTGCTTGAATAGTACAGACTTAGATCAAGTCTTTAAGGTTGAAAATCATCTGAGATTTCAATCCGGATTCTCTAGAAGTTTTCGTATTTGCTTATACAAAAGGCCAGGCACCATGGCTCACACCTGTAGCACCAGCTACTTGAGATGACCAGGATCCTGGTTTACAGTGAACCATGTAAAAATGCTTATAAGACTGCATCTGAAAAAAAATGTGGAACTGGTGGTTCACACCTGTAATTCCAGCTCTGCTGGTGGTGTAGGTAGAACATTTCAGTCTAAGGTTCACTTCAGGAAAAAAAAAGAGAGAGAGACACCATCTGAAAAATAACTAAAAAAGGGAAATCGAAGGTGTGGCTTCTGACTAGCAAAGTGTAAGTAGGAAGGTGTGGCTTCTGACTAGCAAAGTGTAAGTACAATCAGCGGAGCCACTTGTTTACTGTCACACCTGTGTCTGTGTCAATCTCACCTTTCATGAAAAGAATTTTTCATGCAATTTTATTTCTACTTGGTCTGAAGGGTACTTTAGGAAATCCATTGAAACTTCATAACCCCCCCTCCTAACCCCCCCTGACCAACAGCCAAATTTCAAGAGCCAGCCTCGCAGAAAAAATCTCTCTCTCTGACGTTAGTGTTCCGCTTTCTCTTTCACAGTGTCTGAGGCAGATGGGGAAACTGATGACGGAGTGCTGGGCTCACAACCCCGCTTCCAGGCTGACAGCTCTGCGGGTTAAGAAAACCCTGGCCAAAATGTCAGAGTCCCAGGACATTAAGCTCTGACGTGAGAGGAGGAAGCATCTCGGTAGAAGACCAACAGATAACTCTCTGCTTGTGAGCAGAGCAAAAAATATTAGCGGCATCTGCAGTGGGAGCCTTGAACACCGTCTTGCTCTCCAGGGTGGTCCGACCCCATGTCTCCTACAGCCACCCGGATAGACCCTGAGAAGTACCTGGATGTACAGACTCATCCTTGTCTGTAGGAGGGAGGAACTGCTCGGGTACCTTGTTCAAGATATGATGCATGTTGCTTTCTAAGAAAGCCCTGTATTTTGCAATTGCCATTTTTAAAAAAAGATGCTTTACTTTTGCCAAAAATAAAACAGATGTTGTAGCTGTTTTAAGGTTTATACAATGATAGCCTAAATGATAAAGGAAATTCTTTCCAGAAGCCCTGTTGGAAGAGTAAGTATGTTTTCCCATTGATAAGGTATTATTGTAACCCAAAAGATAGTCTAATTTCCTGCAGGGCCCTTCCCACCTCTGCCCTGACCCCCCTCTGCCAGCCCTGCTTCTGTGAGTGCACACGTGGGTACAAGTTCCACCTGTCCGAGACCAATCCTACAGCTCCGGAAAATGTGGAACAAATGAAGCTTTTGTGACTGTAACAGAAAGGTTGATGGGTGTTCTTCCCAACTATTTCTGTTTCTGATTGTGTGAGGCAGATCTTTTCTTTCCATTAAATACAAGTCCCCTACCCCTCCTTCTTTTTTTTAATGTGCCGAGAATTGACCTGTGCATACTTGTGATCTCAAAAACCAGAAGATCAATATTAAATGAAATTGCCATGCATTGTGTGAAAGACAAGGTGCTTTAAGATAATTTGTTCTTGTGTTGTAAGAAGGACATGACATTAAATTAGGGAGGAAGTTGAGGGTGAGGCTGGCTTATTTCTTATACATATGAAGGAGCCCATCTGAGAAGCATGAGGAAGATGAGCAGACATCTTATTTTGTATAGATAAGGATGGTTTCTTCTGTTAATTGCTTATTTTTGTTATCTGAATTAAAAGATACAGAGGAAGCATCCTTTAGGCTAATTTCACTAAATCTTAATTAAAAAAAAAATAGATAAGCTGGGTTTCTGCCTGAAATCCTAGCTACGAAGGAGGCTGAGATCTGAGGATGACTGTTTGAAGCCAGCCTGGGCAGTAAAATCCCTGAGTCTCTTATCTCTAACTAACCACCAGAAAAACCAGAAGTGGCGCTGTAGCTCAAAATGATAGAGTAAAAAAGCTCAGAGACAGTGCCCAGACCCTGAGTTTAAGACCCACGACCAACCAAAAATAAAAAATAAACAAGGATAAATATAAGTGAAGATGGAATAGCAGAAGAGATTTAGTAAAGGCCACAAAATAATACGGCTACTGGAATTGGTTGTTTTAGCATAGATAAGGATGGAATATGCAAATCTTAAGGGATCATTTCACACTATAAGAAGGCTGATTCGTTTTGTTCTCATGACATGCTCTTCACTACTTGGTTAATTTATTTTTTTCTTTTCTGTGGCACTTGGATACAGCATCTCTTCACTTAGTTCTGTACGACTTTAACTTTTGAATAAAGTGCAGCAAAATCATAGAAGGGCCAATAGTCCTCGACAACAGAAATATAATACAATTTAAAATTGCACCCATCTCTCCCAACTTTATTCATTTCCTTACTGTGTTTTTTCTATGCTGTTTAGATATTCTGTAGTGGTTACCAAGGCTTTTCGAAGTTCTTTGCCCTGGGCCTTAAAGAAGTCATTACTACCAGAATACTACAGGGGGCAGTGTTTTCTAATTCATTTCACCATAGGGTGCCTGAAGGATGGAGAACTTTTGAAAAAGGGACAATTGCAGGAAAATTCTCACTTCTGAAGTAGACTTGCAGGTGTGTCTTGTTCATCAAGACAGCAATATGGGCAGTACTGTGAGCTGTGTTCACAGTTTGAGGATCGCAAGCATATCCTGAGAAAAAAGATTTTCTCAGTCCTTGAATGGTGGCTCATGCTTGTAATACTAGCTACTCAGGAGGCTGAGATCTGAGGATAACAATTCGAAGCTAGCCTGGGCAGGAAAAGTCCAAGAGACTTATCTCCATTTGATTGACCAAAAGCTGGAAATAGTGGTAGAGCATTAGCTTTGAGCACAAAAGCTCAGGGACAGCACCCAGGCCTTGAATTCAAGCCCCAGGACAGGTACAAAGAAAAATAAATAAGAGTCAAAACACATGGTTTCAGATATAATTGTAGTCACAACACTGCTCTTACTGATACTAAAGTAACCTCAGTAGAAATACAAAGGTTCATTCCTCTGTGTCAAATTATATTCTTTGTAATAGTTTAGAAAGAATATATGATAGTGTAGAAAGAATATATGGGCAGAACTAAATGTGGTAATTGTCTGAGCCTTGGAAAGAAACTTCAGATCAGCTACAAATCAGGAAGCATTTATGCTAGTTAAATGTTTGGGTTTCTGTAAGTTTAAGTAAGGGTGGGTTTTTCTCTTAATGTTTTGTTAAGATAGTACTTTGTTAATTTTTTGGTAACTTGAATAAATTCAAATCAGAATGTTTCGTGGCAAAGGCAAACAAGATTTCTAGGGTTCCAGTGACGATCTGGAAGTTAACATAGTATCCAAATTTCTTCTATATCATTCATTTGGTTGCTTTGGGGGAAAATTAGATAGCCTGCATTTTATCTACAACTTGAATTTTTCATTATTAAACATTTAGAATTCTTCTCAAGATACCTGAAGCGACCTGTGTAGCAAGTATGTCATTCAATAAGAAGTTATTTATGATTACATTTTCTCTGTATTTTGCTACTAGATAAAAACTGAATTGTCCTTAAAGACCACCTACTCACATCTCAGCAATCTTTTATGATTTCAAAATTTCTAGTAGCTCAGAAAGTGAATTTTATTAATATTTTTGGTTAGGTACTTTTAATCAGGTGAGATCCTGGAGTTTGGTGATGTAGCTGATTGCTTACTTTCAAAAGACTAAGATTTTCTCCTCACTCCTTTCCCCCAATGGAATTCTAAATTATTAGTTGTTAGATGAGCTTTGTATGCTAAGATGTTCAGATTTATAGCTTATGTATGTGTATATATTATATAAATATAGAATGTATATGTAAATATTATGTTCAGTTTGGAGTCTGGCACAACTCCATTCTGTGGATTAGAGAGTAAAATATATGGATGATAAAGTAATAGATGAAACATAATATTTATTTATGAAATATGTCAGGTTGTTCACCACAAGTAAAGAGCGTCGACTTGTGTGGGAGGAGACAAGCCTTTGATCTCTGGCAAAGTGTTACTCACAAGTTACTGGTGCCCATTCATTCTATTTTTCCTCCCTCAGAAAACATGTTGAGAGATGTTTTTGTTTTTAATTTACAGGGAGTCCTTTGACACATTTCAATTGGTGTGTAGTCAAGTATAGCAAGTACTTAATAATGACGCAATTTCATGTTCTTGAGTCATGCATATTCATGAGGAGTTTTATGTTGCTGAATCTGTTCTGGCTCTTCTTTGCTTGTAGGTGGATAGACATGGAAAGAAGGATGATTTTTTAAAGCTTGACCATGTTCAATAATTATATCTCCTTGGTAAACTTGGTCCCAGAATAGGGGTTACATCAAAAGCAATGATGATTCCTTTTGTAAAACAAACAAATAAAATCGCCATATTTGGTGGAGAAAAGTTGGCAATATCTAAGGGTTTTATTGTCTGTCTGTTTCACAAAAAGTCTCCCTTGTGTTCTTTTGGGGAACCCGTGCCTTATGGAATTTGTATATACTGTAATTATTCAGGACTAGGGAACAAACTATTGTATTTGTTACAAATTGTATATGGCTTTGTTTAAACATTCCCCTAAATAAAATGGTGTCATTCTTCCCTTAGAGAACACAGGATTGTGATTGTGTGTGGTCTTGCAAGTTGTGCCTTTTGTTTTTCCTTTGAAAATGTCAAGTGTTCATGGGAGAGAGAGGGGAGGAGGGCAGGAGTGAAGGAGAGGGGGGGCTTAGGTGAGGGTGGACATGCAGAGACATCTTCTCAGTAGACATGGAGGCTGAGGGGAAGTCCGAGCAGTGGGAGCTTGGATAGAAATGAAGAAGGACAATTGGTCTATGCAAAGTTGCAGTGGACTGGGGACGTTGCCCAGCCAGTGGGATGGGCAACGATGGAGGCCCAGTTGAAGTTGTTGTTACTAAACTATGTGTGAATCCAAGCTCCCTCTTCTCAAAGTCTGAAGTCAGGAGGACCGTTCCTTCTCCTTGCAGAGGGAATAATGGTAATACCTATTACATGGAGCGATCCTGAAGGTGAAATGCTTGCTCTATGCATGTGGTGAGCGCCCACCTATTAAAAATGGTTACAAATTCGGTGTCCCTCCCCCCTTTTTTGCAGGCTGTGATTTTATTTATTTTTGTAGATCATGGGGCTAGAACGCGGGGCCTGAGTGCTGTCCTTGAGCTTTTTTGCTCAAGGCTAGTGCTCTAGCACTTTGAGCCCCACTGCTACTTCTGGTTTTCTGGTGGTTAATTGCAGATGAGAGTCTCACAGACTTTCCTGCCTGGGCTGGCTTCAAGCTGTGATCCTTAGATCTCAAGACTCCTGAGTAGCTAGGATTACAGGTGTGAGCCATTGGTGCTTGGTATGATTTTCTTTTTCTTTTGTTCTTTTTTTCATTATTTAGAGAATATTAGTTTCTGTAATCAAACCCACGTAGGTATCCCTGTACAAATGGGGGAAAAAGTTCCTTGTTTCTAGACCAATGTGGCTATTAATTTCTGAATAATGCCAACTCAACATGGTAAACTGGGATACCTTTTCCAAAGTTGAGAGCACAGCTATAGTTCCCATTCTATCAGTAAACCCAAATACAGGCATAAAGACCCCACCAACTAAGTTAATTCAGGATTGGAATTTACTAGTGGTAAGTGGCAATGCTCACAGGACTTAAGAATTACCATCATCCAAGGGCTAGTTACATGGAGCAGAGTCGGGCAGGAGCCAAAGCCAGGAAGTGGCTAAGAAAGAAAGGAACTAATTAGGTCAGAAGATGGGATC